GACTAATCCACTGAACTATTGAATCGGTAGTTCGAGCCATAAACTAAACCTTAAAATCGAACAATAGTAAAGCAGAAACTTTTATGTTTCAAGAAAACTGATAAGATAAAGCTCAATTATGTATATAATATTTTCACATAATTAAAAGAATTAATACTTTTATTGAATAATTATGCCGGAAAAATAAATTAAAATAAAGTTTTAAAAAACCGCAAATAAGATAGCATTTATAGAAAAGTTTTTAAAAATTGAAATCCTTTGAACCCAATGAAAATAGGAAAAGTGTGGAAATACATAGTATTTCATTATTTCAAGGGTGCAATATTTACATATATTATGTCTTTTATATTTATTTCATGATTTATTAAATTAAAAATGCTAACGACAATATTGAAACTTAATAAGTAATATCAATATATTATAACAATAAATATTATAATAACAAATTGAAATATAAAACAAAAATTTATTTAAAATTATTAAAAGAATTTGTTTCTTTAATGGACTGATCTCCAACCAATTTCAGAGCATCGTTAAAGATTTTACTAAAAGATGTAAAGAAATTGTGCAAGCAGCTATGACGTGGGCTCCCCAAGCAACTAAATCACATTTACAAGAATATATAAGACAGTTTCAATCTTCAGGTAAAGAACACCATTCGGGTTTATCTCTTGCAACAGATTCAGTTCTTGAATTGGTTGACTTATCTGGACCAGGTCTCGGTCTTGGACTCTCTACAGTAAGTAAATATAAAATAATAATTATACATCATTATTGTATAATACCTTAAATTTATTAAATATTAAGACTAACTCATTGGATAAACAATCTCGAGCGAAGGGTGCTAGTTCCTGGCTATTTTCAATGATGACAACTCGTTCTTGGTATGCAGGTGAAGTTGCTGGAATGTTAAATCTTGTACGCGGCGAAACACTGCGCAAGGAACAGCATTCTAGTGATAAAGAAAGTATTAATATGGTCGTAAATCGATTAGTTGATGAACTCTGGCGAGCATGTCGTAATCGAGACGAGAATGAGCATCACTGTGCATTATGGCGAGCTACAGCTCTTCTTATATCAATACCAGGTATATTTGATATTTTGTTATTTTTTTAATATAAACGCTTACAATCTTTTTGAAGTAAAAAATTATTTTTTATGTATGCTATTGTATGTGTGACCAAGCTGGAAATTTTCTTTATAATTAGTTCATTATTCGGAAATATATTTGTAATTTAATAATGGAATATATTTGTCATTTACCACTGAGAATGCAGTATTCTTTATCTAAGTAATAACAACAGAATTTTCTCTATATTAAGAATTTGACGTTTCTGAATATTACTCTTTATAATTTATAGTTCAAAAAGAATGTATATACTAATTGAGATCTAGATTTCACCTTCTTAAGACTGGTGCAGTAGTAGTTTTTATATTATCTTAGTACGATACATTTGTGGGTTTTTTGTTGCGGTATGGTATCTTTTGAAAATAAATTGCTGGAAGTACCGAAGGTACATTATAATAAAAGATTTACAGTTAAACGAACTAAATAATATATTGAAAAAAAATGAAAGTTTTATGTATGGATATCTAAACATTCCCTTAAAAACGAGTGAAATCGATCGTTTAAAACCTTTGCGTATGTTTTGTATATGTTTTTGCAAATTTCAAATACATAAAAATATGCTGTTCGAAATTGCGAGAATCCTTCACAAGTTCTTAAATATCTGTAATTTGATATCTGGACATCTAGAAATAGTCGTTACACCTAAAAATTAAAATCTAACGGTACTCAATCGCACACTCTGTTGTCGAATCTAGCCATATTGTCATTTGGATAGTTAAAGCAAGGACGTTTCAATCAAGGCTCACTCTTTGTTGGGACACCATGAGATAGACTACTCTCTCTCTCTCTCTCT